CTGTAGAACGCACGAAAAAAAACCGCGTGAAAATAGTTAAACTAGGAGAAAAAGAAGAGATTTTCGAAAACAGGGTTTTTGCCGGATTTCTCGATCAAATTAAAAAGGTGGTTCTGGGACGTTGTCATCGTGGAAATAGAGATCAAGAGCTTCAAAATGATATATAGCTTGCTGAAACTGGGTTCAAAACAGCGAAGAAAAGGGTACCAGAGCTAAATGCCCCGCGCCCCGCGTTTGGGGTAGCGAGCTCTGGTCGTTAATCTCCGCGAAGTCTCAACGAAACTCTGCAGCATTATATATCATTCTGATCGCCATGACACGAAGAGGAGCACCGACAACGTACCAAGCGTTAAAATCACTTATTAACGAGATAGACCAGCGTTTTCTTGCGCGACTCTCTGCGCAAGATTTAAGCGCAACTTCTTGTTTCTAGTTAACTTATAGCTTCCTAAACTTGTGAAACTCCGTTTTATTCAAATTGCAGGATAACTGAGAAATTTTGTCTTGCTGGCAAAAATTCCACGGAAACCTTTTTTTTAGATAAAAAAGGCTATGAAAACGCAAATTCTCGGTTTTGCTGAGATAAGCTACAGATATTATTTCCTATATTTGCTTCATTAACATTTGTTCTGATATAGTCGGGATAATAACATCCGGGGCTCCGCCCCGGATGACTTCTGTTTTTTTCCAGGTGAAGGTTGTCCCCCCATAGCCTTCAAAGTGAAGGTTACCAGATTACGTGGCTCTATGTATCGAGGGTATGATTGTTGTTAATGTTGGGTGTTAACAACATGACTACAGTGTTGCAACTACTGTTGCATCTGTGTTGGTTGGATGATATAAGTGCAGAATTAGGTGGCAACTACTGATGCACCGTTGTTAATGTTCGGCGATAACACCACCACTTTAGTTTTGCAATTGCTAACAATACTGTAGCACCGTAATTGTTGCATCTGTGTTGGTTGGGTAGCACAAGCGCACACCTATATACCACAACTGCTGTTGCATCGTTGTTAATGTTGGATAATAAAACCACGACTTTCGTGTTGCAGTCGCTGAGTACACTGTGGCATTTTGTTATTGCACGCGTGTTGGCTGGATGGCACAAGCGCAGAGTTAGGTACCGCAACTGCTGTTGCATCGTTGTTAATATTGGGTGTTAACATCACGACTACAGTGTTGCAAGTACTGTTGCATCTGTGTTGGTTGGATGATATAAGTGCAGAATTAGGTGGCAACTGCTGTTGCATCGTTGTTAATGTTGGGTAACATCACAACTACAGTGTTACAACTACTGTTGCATCTGTGTTGGTTGGATGATACGAGTGCAGAATTAATGGCAGCTGCTGTTGCATCTTGTTGATGTTGGGTGATAACACCACCACTTTAATGTTGCAGTCGCTGACGACGTGGCATCTATAGATGGTGAGCCTTCGCTAGAGTTAATAACTAGTACCTTCTTCAACTTTGTTGTTTACACTGCTGTAACCCCTCCAATATTGTACATTCACACACTTACTGGTGTTAGGCCGTTTATTATGAGCTTTTATACAATATTTGAACTTTGATCTAACACCAACCTCTAAATTGTTCGAGCACATATATTCAAAGGAGTTATACAAAATCAATTCAATTATTCTTGTTTTTCACTGTGTACTTTTCATACTGTAGGCAGGCTATTAGCTTCATACATACCTCCTTTATAAAAAAACCTTCTGGATAAATGCTGCATTCCGGCAAGATAGTCAAACAAACTCAGCTTGTAGGGTTGACTCATCATAAAAAATAGCTTTCTCAACATTGATGAAATAAAATGTGAAAAAGACGTTTCAGAATCCGTATTTCCAATACGATATGAATACCCAATGTATGTACTCATAAACATCCTGCATGATTCATGCTTTCTTTCAGCTGAATATATTCAGTTCGAAGTGCTGCGTTTTCACTTGAGTGATATTCACTAGTAACATGGTCATGATGCCCATTGTAGAAGAAAGAATTCCTATTTATTTAGGAGATAGGAAACAACCATGTTTCTAAGAGTATGGTTGAACAAGTGAACAAGTGCTGCAAATTTAGGGAGTTGCAATTCGCTCTGAAAAATTCTGTTTGCATCCTACGAGCATCTCCATCGAACTGATGCTTGGCCAGAAACGCAGAGATCCAGTCGCATGCACTCGTGACATGGACAGCGACGAAAAATGCGCGAATAGTCGAGGCTTATCCCTCTTGATGACTGTAACGCGGTGCTCATCAAACAAAGGTCGTGGCTGCGGTGGCGGCAATGATGGTGGCTAACAGGAAAGACGCTCCTTCACTCTGCATGTTTGTATGCAGAGACAAATACGGAAGATACCCACATAGAGACCGCTCTTGGTAGTGTATATACAGACCGCGAGTTGAGGTGCGGCTTTGTGTAATCGCAGATATCATCTTTTGCTATACGTTGATGTAGAGCTTTCCAGTATGGTAGGCGCCAAACTTATCCGCTTACCCGCTTTATCTACTTCAGCTACTTTGCTTTTGGTTGGGTCAGTGATTCAAGGCCTAAGCATCGATCACGATAATTTACATTTAGGTAATAACGAATTTTCCGCGAACATCGTTGAGAATGAACTGACACATCCCCAACATCACCCAGGACAACAGCATTAAACTCGGTACCTCATTCTCACCTGGGTAGTTTGGATGATGATGAAATGAGTTCACTTGTTTTCAAAAGTCAGTACTTTTACAGAATTACCAAACTTCTTTCATTCCACAAAGTTTCTTCGATGAACTGGCTCCAAAACGAACAGTAATTGAATCTGATGTAGCACACAACGGAGTTTGCGTCACTACGCAAACAACACTGCGGGGGCATGACCTCCGAAATACCATCGCTTATACAGCGGATGAGATTATGCTGAAATCGGAGACAAAATGCAAACTTTGTATGACACGAACATCTTGGACACGACTCATAGGCACTGGAGAATAAATAGTAACGGCATTGAGACGAATTGGTTTTATGGAAGTAGAATTTGGATGCTGGGATTCAGAACAAGCCAATGGTAGTTACTGGCGCCTCGTTCTATTAAGGATTTTACTGAGAGGGAGGTTTTGTGAGGCTGTCAGAAAAAGGAGAGAAATCTCCTTTATATTTACAAATAATCTAATTTTGAGAATTACAGAAAACCATATTGTGCTCAGATGAATTCAAAGCTCAAACTTAGCGGTAACAAAAAGGAACCATCAACACTGTTACAGTGCGTCCTCTCGTTTCCGCCTAGCTTCTGTAGTCACGAACTTCTGACAAACACCTTGTACTTTATGTTTAGCTCTGACAATGTAAATACTTCTGATTATGGCAATGTGAGTTTCAGTGTTTCGTGTAAGGATTGGGCTATGTGAAATGTAATACTGTAATGAATAGGGTCAGCACAGGTGGAGAACAAACAGTACGCCTGCTCTGAGCTGAAGATCCCCCTACACATCATTCTTTATTTGCATTTCATAGCAAGACGAGGTGTATCGCTGCTGAACGACTGTCGTTGTCGCATGAATACTGAGAACAATATTGTTTGGAACTTTTGGGTTTGTAGAATGATTCTCTTTTAAGTTGTCGCTATCCGTGAATGTTCTACTAGTGCTTATTATGGCACCTTTCATCCCCATTTGCCCAGCATAAAGCGCTCGTTGAGCCTAGAGTCGTGCCGACACAGAAACAATGTAAGCTGTCATTTCTGAGTGTTTACCAGCTCCAGTACAATATTTGCAGTCGATCAATGTGGATGTGCGAGTGCACTTATCTATCTCAAAACGTTTTTATGGCATTTAGACAAACAAGATCCACAGGGAACCTTGCGGAAATTACTTACAGATAGTATTTTAAATTATCAGGGAAGTCTGTCAAAACTCTCTATTGGAGGTGGCAATGGACAGCCTTATTTAGGCTTGTCGAGTTATGCAAAAAAAATTTCAAAGACCAGATCCTGCTGTGAACTTTGTACCTAGCCAAACTCTTCTTCAGAACATCCGTTTTTGAAAAAAATTGTTCCTGACGAAAAAATGAGACTATTCTGTGATGTAGCTCAATACCGTTACACAGTACAGATGCCTGAAGCTGGACAGCTTATTTTCACAACGACAGCTGAGTCCTGAATTTGCTTACTTTTCGTGCAATTTCAACACAGACACGATGAGAAGAAGAATCCAAACAATCAGACACAAGATATGCGAGTGTATTTGTAACCTTATATTTGAGACTAAGCGCGGTAAACGAGGGGACCTTGGTAGTAATTCATCAGTGAAAACTTCTTCTAGCTGAAGAAACTGTGTAATTGTGTAGACTACCTAGCACATATTCAATCAAATCAAAACAGGGAAGAAAAAACAAGGAAAGATTCCAGAAAACTAATTTTCAACTCTACATGTCGTGAAGTAGCGTGCATGGTTTGTGATGAAACGCAATCAAGCTACAAATGACCCGACGATACTCTTGATGTCGGTGCATCGTGTGTGGCCATGGACAACTGATCCCGACATCGATACTCTGAAGTGGAGATGGGTAGATGTGGCAGCGTCGAGGGTTTTCACTTGAGAGCAGCACAACCCGAAGGCCCGATCTCGGCGCTCACACTCTATAACTCTTGTCGTGGCTCTTCTAACTCAATGGGTATATCACACCTTCGACAAAACAACCCTCTCAATATCAGGAGGATGTGCGGCTTCTCATGGGCGCTGAATTGAGCAATTCCGCCCTGATCGAGCCATGTATAATCAGCCTGGGTTGTGATTTTCCACCCATTCACGAACAACTTACCCAATGCACCAATCACAGAAGTGACACATGTAAACGAGGCTGGTATTAGCGCCCATGCTCGCCTCGATCGCTACCGTAATGCGCCCGAAATGGGCGGAGCAGGCGCCCAACACTCGCTCTTGCTTAGACATACATACACACAACAAACGGGGGCGGTGCTACTCGCTGTCAATTGCACTTCACTTTGAGTGGCCCCATGTTCAACGTGTCGGCACTTGCCAGTTCAAACTCATTAGGCCCTAGCTTAGGCCCTAGCTTAGGCTCATCATTAAGTTCTGGCCTTAGCAGTTCGTCATCAACATCGCTTGGTACTGGAATTAGCCAGAGCATCGCCGCTTCACTGCCGACACCTGTAGCTGGCGATTCAAAGTGAGTGCTCTTGATCATTTTGAATGGGAAATACTCGATAATGAAGCCGCGCAGCTCTCAATGTCGAGTATTCATTTATTCGCTAGTATTTATGTTGTTCTTCAACGGACCCATATCGTACGCAAACACTCGTCAAAAACACTTGAGTGAAGAGTTGATGAGGTCAAATCTTATCACCGCTAATTTGTTCAAACGATGGCTTTTTGCTACGTTTATGAGATCCACTAGCAAATTATCCCAATTGAAATGTCTTAGTCTGCCTTTTTGAGACTTGAGTATAAGAATTCTTTTTAATTACTCGCTACATTTTTTCTCCAAAATTAACCTTGTTCAAGTTATAAGCAATAAAAAATTGATAGAAGGGCTTTTTCTTACAGATTTTTCTGGTTTTGAGCACAGCCGACTTTTGCGGAATGGATGTTTGTGAGAAATCAGATTATTTGGAACCAGAAAATTCTCTGCGGGACCCTTTACCAACCTTTGTCGTTGCTTTTGATTTGCGATTTCCAGTTCAAAAATAATCTTGTTCATATTAGAAGCAACGCAGAAATGGAGAGGCTCCCACAGAGTTTTCTGTTCTTAAAGGTTCCACAAATCTCTGGGAGAATAGCTCAATATTTCTACTAAAAGCGGAAGATATTTGTGACAAATAGGATTACTTGAGACCGGAAAATTCTTTGCAGGATCCTCTGTCCGCAACTATCGCTGTTGCTTATAATTTGTATAGCTTTTTTCAAGTTCTTTCCATAACCATCAAAATACAAGCTACATTAAGGGTTGATAAAGGGTCTCGAAGAAAATTCTGACTTCAAGAAACCTGATTTGTCACTAATATCTTCCTTACTTAGTACAGTTTGATGGGCTATGCTCAAGATAAGCCAAATGTCTACCTTATTGGAAACTTAACAAATTTCCTGGTCTAAACTTTTATATTTTAGTAATATATCTGATTTTATGATGCTAAGAAAGAGTATCTTTTCAGCTGCATATGCGAAACTACCTTGGAAACATATGCCCAAAGTCAAATTAGAAATATTGATTCTCGATGCCCCTTTTCCAAATCTGTAGAAACTTCTTAAAGCCTGTGTATGCGGATTTGTCTGTGTGTACCTCACCTCCAACACTGTCCCGTATTTCCAGTTTTCAGCATTCTTGCAGATGCTGAGATCCGGTTGTGTTCACTAAGAGTGTGATAAACTGTGGCTAGACAAAATCCTCGCATTTCTTGCGCTATAATCTACAAACTGTATACATGATTTGCAGAAGTGAATTCAAATGGGACACTTCAAGCGATGCAACAGCTCAGACTTCAAATGGAACATGGACAGAACATCTACCACTGCTTGCAGGTAAATTTTACCTTACTAAGGCTGAATCGTTCCATTTTTTACGATTTGCAGATATTTTGGAAAAATCTGTATGTTTAGCTACATGGTTACATAGTTGAATTGCTACATCTCCTATTTTCTCTGTCCGTTCTAAACTACGGTGTTACCCTTTTACAGTATGCCCAATCACTGACCAATCGCAGCCCTCTCCCGTAACTACCATAATCCTGCGCTTACAAGATTAAATCGCCAGAAACGCGTTCTAATCTGTCTGTTCAAGTCGGCACTGGCCGCCTGAGAGCGACGCCGCACTGCCGCTTACGCGACGCATTGTTTGGTTACGGTAGTGTCTGCGCTGTCTCTCCGCTACATGCTACATCCGTACGTAAATCTCTGCGTCTCCCACCTCACCGCGCTATTTCACAGGTTCTTGTTTGTGTAGCGTTGGAGTATGTTCACGAACACAAACAGTAGCGAGCGAGCAGCACACGAGGAAGCTTTCGTGTATCCGCAGATAATCACTATCAGGGGAGCAGATGCTAATGTAGGGAGATTTTGGTCAGAAAAGATTTATAGAATATTAGCGAGTTTATCCAGAAAATTTCTCAAAAGTAAATTGAAGTCTCAGCTGGTTATAAGTGTTTATACTGGTTTTCTAAGCAAATTTTATTTCCAGAAATTGGCTACAATACGCGCGAACTTCTAGCTTTGATGTTACATGAGATCCCTAAGCCATTGTTGAACAATATCCGACTGTTGTCGCAGTGTCTCGTCAACGTAATCCGATACCTTGCATATCGTCCTACCGTTCGTATTCTGGCAAACCTGTACTCGCATTCGTCGACAGTGTTGGGTTGACCTTGGTTGTTACTGCTTTCGTTCAGGGGACCTCAAAACATTTAATTGTGTTCTTGGTTTTAAAGTAAACCTGACATTGGCCACATTTGACCTATCTCAACCTGACTGCAGCATTTACTTTGATGCGGATAGGTGTTTTATGTGTAAAGCTCTGACATTCACATCATGCAAATCTGCTACAACCACTTGGCAGAGCTTTCGAAATACTTATCAATTATGTTGTAAAACTTCTGAATTAGAAGCTGACATTTTCAAACTTTAGCTTTCACAATCTCAAAACCATACTAGATTTTTTGATAGAGCAACGAGCCCTGTGAGCTCAAATCGAGCACTTCTTTTTGCGTTCGACACTTTAGATAATCCTATGATGTTATGCTAGGGTTCGATTAGTTAAAGGCGCATGTTGATTAGAAAAAGTAGCTCACACTGTGACGCTTACCTCACCTTGAGCCTATATGATTAGGCATTAATGATAGCACTGTAATCAGCCCATGATTCCCGATATCTCCCAATCAAATCGAATAAGCGGCATAAAAATAGCCTTGGGTTAAAATCATCATTTTTAAAATATAAATTACTTGTAGTTCTTTTTCTGTAGCTTCAGCTGAAGTGCTGAACAGTAGGAAGCAAAAAAAACAAAGTGTCTCATAGCACCTTTAATTATTGCTAATAGTCCTAAGATGTATTGAAGTCCATTCTACATCGTCCTTAGAAAAGGTAGTTGAATCGAAAATAACACATCTACTAATAGCGAATTCTTGCTGGGAATTACTCAGAAATGAAAGGTTTTAGTGCTCCATAGTCTTATGCTAAGTGTCTTTCTGACTAAAGCGCTATCCAAATCATGTCTGATTATTTGCTATTCAGCGTAAAGATTTGGCTTACTTGGCAGGATTGGCTGATTACGATGCTATGCACAGTAGTGTAGGAGAAGCCCTGTTGAAGCAGGTCAACTTCGCTGAGTTATCATGTTTTATTGTGGATATAGCGTCTCAATGATGTTCAGAAAGCGACTCTTTGATCGCGCTGAGACCTTCATTCGATGTAGAGGGGTTGCCAGCATTATGGGGCGAGAATTCAAGACCATCAGCTCACTATAGCGGTTGCATTGTATCAACTCCTGACAATGGCTTAAATGAAGATTCCATTTGTGATGTGCATCTGAATGCAAGTAAACTCGAATTTCTGCCAACTGACTCTAATTACAAGACGTAAGGTGAATAATGTTGGTGGGGAATCACTCCCACTGACCGTATCTCAAAACTCCTAAATGAGCAAACCCAGTGAACATACAATGAAACCTCTTCAAACCTATGGGCTTTAGTTCCTTCATACTTCCATAGGCTTTGACAGCGAATCTAGCCAGACCTATTTGTCTCTCGAATTTTGTCCGAACATTTTCAGGTTACCCAGCCGCGCCTTCTTTCTCCATAGAGTCTTCGATGTACACATACGATCCCTCGACAAACTTCGCTGGAACATTGACGCCTGGAAGTTCCATGTACACCCTGCCGCCCGCTGATCCTTTCCAGAGAACGGATCCTATGATAATGGGGAATGGGAGCAGTGAAGAGAAGGAAGGGGACGGAAACGAGAAGAATGGGTAAGTCGGAGGCTATTCAAAAGTGGAGCATTTTTGTAGAGATCGTTGGTTTAGATCAAAAGCCGAAGATGAAGATGATGGCGCAGATGAAATGGAGGAGGATGGTGAGGAGGAGTATGATGGAAACGGTAGAATCCCTTGAGATCCAACAAATGTTATAAGGCCGAAATTCCCCTTTCAGGGAAACGCAAGAAGCGGAAGCGACGAGTCCTCTTCACGAAAGGCCAAACTTATGAGCTAGAGCGAAGGTTCCGTACCCAAAGGTAGGTCAAACTCGTTATCCGGCTCCCAGCGCGAACAACCGCTACGTTCCCCACACCAGCAAACGACCAAAATACACTTCTTGCGCGCCGCGACCAGTATCGCTCTCGTCGTCGCACCACCTTCTAGCAACCGTGCTGCACAGTTGTTTGTTAATGCACGAAAGTGCACTTCTTGTTCGACACACAACGTGTTTGTTCAAATCGAAATATCTCATGTCGTCGTCGGTTGTGTGTCGGCGGGATTCTTCTCTCAATCGGTTACGGTAACGTCAACAAAATCCTAAAGCAATGTCTACTCGCGGATGTTGTGAACGTGCACATCCGGACATGATGTACCACCTGAGGTGTCGGGGGATGACTGGTGCGCGAAGGGATAACAAGACGCCGAAATTGTGTGACATCTCGTTGAGGTAAATACAGCATGCGGGAAGACTGCATAAAATTTTGGATGTCTTTCGACTTTGACGTCCTAGGAATTTTCTACAATGCATCATATTACAAGGCGTCCCAATTTATAGCCCACTGTTGAATTGTTAATGACTCTGTTGTGCTGATGTCTCTGCAAGTAGACAATTTGCACTGTCACTATAACGCTTTGCTGCTGGGACTATGGTTGAAATGTTTGCAGAGGATTTTTTTTACATAGAAAACAAAACCACAGGTCCAAAAAATAGATAGTGGTAGTCTAGTTCAATCCTTGAAATGCTCTAGAAAGACTTCGAAGAGGCGGGGAAATGTGTAAAGTGCTAAACCTAAATATAAGGATGGAATATGAACCTTCCTCAGAAATCACACCAGGTATACTCAAAAATGTCATACGCGAAATGGAAACCATCACAACAATGGCTTACCCAGGATTTCCGTTATGGGGGGGGGGCGACAAAAAAATTATTCTGATGAAGGTGGCGCCAAGCATAAAATTCTCGTTGAACTAGCGCTGTCGAAACCCCTGGATGAGGTCACAGGTGTTCTGGCAATTCTCTTAGTAGCTGATTTTCAAGCGTCGTTACGACGGAGGTTTCTACAGTAATCATACAGTAACGAAGGATAGTCGCTTGTGATTGGCTCCCTAGCTAAGTTTTAAGCTGAAGTTGGTAATGCTATCCGAATGTTGATGATAGGCATCAGAGCACGAGAAACACTAGCGAATGAATTAGGAGGACATTGTGGGCCACGTTGTGCAAAGCTGTTCGCGAAAAATGGCGCAGTGGTATAATGCGCCACCACAAATTGTGGAATCAAGGTTCAATCCCGCACCTGACTCAACCGAGCCCTCTACCTTCCGGGTCCCAAAGACTGTCGTAAGAAGGATCTGAGAGGATTATCGCACTGATTTCCTTACCGATTGAGCTCTGTAAGTCACAGCAAAGCTGGCAAGCGTTAGATAGAAAGTTAATGCTTCAGAGAGTATGCGAGACATATCTTCTTCTATCTGTGGAATAAGAACAGTCAGATTTTGCTGCTTTTGAGATTTCACAGAGGTTCCAGTCTTTTTATCAGAGTTATAGATGTCGTCGATCAAAACTTCGACCAGAAATGAGTTTTCTATTAGTTTATTGTTCCAGATACCTCAGCGCACCAGAGAGGGAACAACTAGCCATGCAAATTCGTTTAACCCCAACACAAGTAAAAATATGGTTCCAGAATCATCGGTAGGTGTATTCCTCACAACCATATACAACTGATCAAATTTATTCTCCCATTAGTTACAGATACAAAACAAAGAAGACCATCCAAGAAAAAGGCCTGAATCCCGGTTTGCTCAGCTCGTCACCATCGTTTACGACCCCAGCTAGTACAGCATTTTCAGCAAGGAGGTACTGTCCTATTCCAGAATTTAGGTAGCTTTTCATTTACATAGAGGGTTCCTAGAAAGGAGGTGTTTTTTCAGTTTTCGTATGCCGATCCAAATGCTAGTCAGAGATGGGAAACCCTGCCCTCCTGAGATTGCTTCAACGCCTTATCAAGCAGCTGCCGCGGCTGTGGCATTCGGTGGAAGTGGAGCAGGGTTGGTTACTGTAGAGGTTATAACGTCCATCATCAATCGTAGTTTTTATTTCAGCTACCTTCCTGGATCCACAGGTTACCTGCCAGCTACAGGTGGTTACCTTTCGCAAGCGCCACCTACCACTTCTTACATGGCAAATAGCTGGGGTTGGCATTGATTATAGCCTTTAGTAACTAATAATTGCAGAATAAATTGGGAATAGATATTATTGGTTGATTTACATTAGGCTGTTCCTATAAATTTCTACTAGATAGTCTCTTGATGATGCTTTCATCGAAATGTATTGCAACTATTCATGATTGACCGGTATTTTTGAGATTTTACATCTTTTCTCCGCTCTTCTACCCCTCGTGTACCATGACTGACCGTTTTTTTAACGTAAACGAGTGTTGTGTGCCTTTTTTGGTGTTGTTTACCTCAGTCATGATGTAAGAGTTACAGTAGATTGAGGTTTGTTGCTCATTTTGTTTGATTCGCTTATGTAAAATAAATAGTCAGCGGATAAATATAAAACTTGACACTAATCCATCAGTTACAAAGGGACAAAGTGGCTTCCTATACTTCTAACGGTGAATTGGAAACTCAACAGTGGCATCAATCCACTAGATAATTTCGACCATCAACTCCAGTTCTTCACTCACATCCTATAAAATCTGAAATTTCAAAAAGTGAAAAGTGTGCTTCCTTGCAATCACTTTTATGGCATGGATAAGGATCCTGCTAATCACTTCTTCAAACTGTTCCCTAATTTAGGCATGTTTCTTAAACATGTATTTAATACAAAAGTCAGTAACAAAAAGTAATGACGATTCTCATATACAAATCCAGATGTTTCGTCATACGCAAAGGTGATGCCCTTCAAAAAAATAGAGTTGGATTGTTAGTGAATTGATGTGCATCATTTCCGCTTGGACTATTGAGATGGGTAGCCATCAAAGAAAATTAAAACGAAATACGAAACATTCAGGAATATTGAGGGTTCCCGCAAGAAACTCTCAAACCGTGCTTTCCACTTGCTACTCCAAGACCTAGAAAAATATAACGTTCTGAGTGTTTGTTCGAATTGAAATCTCTTTGAACTCTGTCTTTGTTTCAATTGCTCATTTCTCGGGCAACCTAGCGCTAGGTTCAGCAAAGCATTTTTCACTCAACGCACCCATCACTAATTTATGCGTTTCCATGGGAAAAAGGCGGAGACGGATTTTTGACCTAGCATCTTGAAAAACTATTGCACCTCCATATGAACTGGCCCCTCTTCTTACCTATTTTATTTTCACTGAAATTAGAATTTGTGTTCACAATATCGTGCAGTGCATGCGATCAGACGACAACACAGAAACTGCCATCGGGAACCTCTTGTAGCTTCCAGGTGAGTATTGCTGGAGCTAAATTTTGGAAGTTTGAAAATGAAGATAATTCTAGATTTATGATTTTAATCCCGTCATTTCTTCGACTTGCACATGCCAGGATTCATCATTCGCATTAATATATCGTAACGAGACAGGAACGATTTCCTGCTACAATCCTAACGGTCTGATTTTTTGAGATTCTAAAAAAACACCAATCAGTCATGAGTTGATCTCAAAATTTTCGATAAAATTCCATTTTAGATGATTCATGCACGGATGTTAACCCAGAAGACGGCATTTGCGATTCAGACCAAAATGTAAGATGCACGACAACAGTACTTACCATATCTCAGAAAAATATTGCGAAGGTGAAAATTAGGTCCTTAGGTCTCTTTTAAAAATACACACCACATCTCTATTTAGTACATGTTATACTTTATCACCGCATGGATAGTCTTATGGTGTTTGATTACCTTAGCTGTCAACTTCATGCATAAGTAAGTAAATTAGTAAATAGTAAATAACAAGTAAATATTCAGTTTTATTTTCAGAAAAAAAGTATTTCATCTGAGATTTTTCAATCAAAAATTGGAAAGCTGTGGAGTTGTTGATTTATACCAACCAATTTATTTCGCTTACCTTCAGATTCTCTCATAAAAATAAAAATGCTAACTAGTGATTTACACAAAAATAGAAATGAGCCTTCCTAGTTTTCGGTACTTCCTCTCACACGACGAATTTGGACAGATTTTTCCTTATTTATTCTTTTCAGACTGATTCACATTATCTCCGAAACTGTTAGTGCACTTCAAAAATTTTCTTTTCAGAAACAGCGGTCACCATCGCTTTATTCATCTTTACGAAGAAATCATTATTGTCATTCTGTTCATTGTAATAGGCGTTGCAAATGTGACATTTGTATCGAAGAAGGTAAGAATTTTGAATTTTAAGCAAGCAAGCATCTAGAGTGAATAAAAATACTACTTGTTTAGAATATCTGCAAATACATTCCTATTCTGTCGCAGTTCTTTATGGCTTTGCTGAATGCAGCTTTTGTAATGGAGTCTATCTTTGCGAAATCGTAAGTGTTTTACTCTCGCCGAAAAGTATGCTATGGTTCATATAACATTAGTTGTAAAGTATGAACTACGTACTGTGATACCTCACGTAGAGGTAAAAGTACTGCTTTCTTTGAAATTTTAATTATCTCACATTTTCAAGATGTGTTACTCCTCTTTATTCTTCAGAATGGTCCATGCGCGGTCCAAGAAGAATGGATTCATTCCAGCATTTTTGAACTATCTCATTCCTATTCCTCTTGCTCTTCTGCCGACGCTTCTTACATATTTTTATCTCAAGCAGTACTACGGTTTGTCGTATCAACTGTGAGTTTTTTTTTAATCCACTATCTTAAGGATGGCGAAGGTAAATAACAAGTACTACAGAGTCGATGTAAGAACGTTATGTTGTTTTACCCTTTGATTCAACTGGATTGGCGGCTGAAGGGCGGGACTTCGTGACCATTAAAGCTAGGGAATAATCAGAGAACACGCTCTCGAGCGAGACGCAGACTGCGTTGTGTGTTGGTCACCTTCCAGCCGCCAATCTCGTTGAATCAGAGGTTAAGTATTTTGATGCGAAATTTGCACTCAAAAAGGTTACATGAGCGCGGTCGCCTGACTGCCCAAATAACTTAGAGATTTCCAGCTCTGACCAACAAAGTAAGGAAAGAAAAGTGATGACTTTACCCAGCAATTTCAGCTGCTTTACTACTGCACCTGGTGACATGTTTTGGGCATTTGTCATTCCCAACTGGATACTCATTGCTGTGGCTGGACTTCAAGCACAACTGAGCTGCCTCGCATGTGATCAGACTATCCCTGAACAGGATCAAATCCAATGCTTCTGGGCAAAGTGAATGACTACGATTAAGATATTTGAGTAGGATTTTGAGAAGGGCCTGAACCATTTAAGGAAGTCAGCAAAGTCACTGTTGCTATTCTCTCTATTGATTTTCACCTTATGGTTCATGATACTATCAGCTGGGAATGAGCAGGTATTTTAATCCTAAGCTATCTCTAATTATATCTTCGTAATTTTCAGATCACGTATCTCTTCATACTTGCCATCCTCCTGACAATTCTCGCTGGACCAACGATCTTTGTTGTGCACACGTTCTGCCATCTAAATGTAGAATTTTTTCAGTTACTTGTGATATAACTTAACAGAAACTTCATCTTAGACTTGCCAAAAATGGAGTAAGCCAGGATTTTTCGGAGGTTTCTATCAACTGTGCCCTGAGAAGCCGAAGGACAAACCAAAAGATCCGTATGATGACGATGATGATGACCTTGCACCACAAGAGGTAGATTCAAAAGTTTTTGAAGATGAATTGCAGAACTATGCAAAAATAGTAGCTATTCTAACCATGCACCAGATATTCTTGTCATTGTAGCCATCGCCAACTACTCAAAATGCTCCTTCACCATTGCCAAATAAGGTGGCACCACTTCCTGAAATTTTGGAACCACCGAAGGTAAGTGCGGTACAAAAAATGTAAAGACATTCAACAACTGTATCAGAGCACACATGCTGAACCCACCCACACGCCTGCCACTCAGTTCTATTCATGGCTTACCGCGCCGGATATGTTTACGAGGAGGCCAAGTTCAGTGCTGTTTCGTCCCAAACCCTCTTAAGCATCTCATGATTCTATTGCCTTTTTCAAGAATAAAATGCTCTCATTTTTTCATATTCAAGAAATTACTGATATCAATGAAGTGACGTTTAATGAAACCAGTCTTCTTCCAAAACCCAGAAATTTGAGCGTAAACATAGCACGAAAAGTGAGCATGGCTAACGATAGAAATATAGTAGCTGTGGGCCTGTTGTTATGATTTCTTGTCCATGATAACAACGTGTAGAGGGCAAATGGCAACTTTGTTCACCCTTGGTTTAACCAATTATGCCAACACAACCCACCTATTTCACGTGTCTCCATTCCAGGCAACAATCACTTGTATTGCTAAGATTTTAAAATAAATAATGGAACATGCGAGACTCAAGAGGTTTATGTTCGGAGTTAGGTATAGGTGAGTAATTTCCGACGAGGTGCGAACGAAAAATTATAGTAAATCTATTTTTCTTTTCATGATCTGTCTTGATTCGGTGTTTAATCTGACGGAACAAGTAAATTCAATTCAAATTTCATTGTGAATTAGCGCGTTCGGACCTCTTCCTTTGGTTCAGAAGTGTTCTTTCAAGAAAACATTTCAAATCAGCTTATCAACATTATCCAAAGACGACTTTAATACTAAAATGACCTCCTGACATGCAAGAATTAGTAGTCTCACAAACTTCCCGAAGTATTATATTAGGGTGATCGGTAAAAATGGGGCAGCTTGATTTTTATAGAATTTTAAGATTTTTTGTTTCGAGCAACAACAAGCAGGCTGCAACGTAAACGTCCCTTATATAAGCGACCTTCGCCTATTATTTAGGCAAAGCGTCAGCGCTCCTCTCCCACAACCCTACGCGTGGCGCCGAAGAACTCGAACAGGGTTTTTTAAACCTCGCTCATTCTTGCGCTGCCATACCGCAAAGTTAAGGGCAATTGATATACCATTCGAAAGAGCTCTTCATGCCCTTTCAACCATTATATCAAACATACAGGATTTCTTTCTATTTCTGGGTAAAAAAAGCGAAATACCTGAAAAATCGCGATTTTTTGGCGCAACAAAAACCAGTAAATCAAGTTTCAATCTGTATTTTCCGGAGATTGACGAAATGTGAGGTAAGCTGCATATGGATGGATAGAGCGTAAAAAGCTCTTTCAGATGGTACCCACCTGCAAAGCATTGAATAGCACGTATCTTTGTTCTCAAAGCTGCTAATGGCCATATCTCCTGAATTTGAAAGTTTACACCAGCAACCCATAGGGGGGGGCTGGTAACTGTACCTTCACGCATTGCAGCAGTAGTACTTTGGATGGTTTCGCATGGTTCACTGCGCAGATACTGCTCGAAGTTTATAATTTGTCAAAGTGACTAACTTTGCATATCAGCCACTATGAAAATTATTAGGTACTAGCTGGCTTACCCGGCTCCGCCGTATGTTCCGAATAGAAAATTCCATTTCTTAACCGATCCGGACCAAACTTGGCACACATACACTTCGGGCCCCGGCGGGTGCCACAGTCCACTTTTCGTCATCGATCGATGTCGAGTTTATCGATTTTTTGCAAAATTTGAGCTAGGGGGCTGGAATTTGGCGGGGGGGGGGGTGTAATCGAGCATGCTGGTCACCCCCACGGGGGTGATCAGCATGCTCGATTACCCCCCTGTGCCAACTCCCAGCCCCGTAGCTCAAATTTTGCAAAAAATCGATAAAATCGATATCGATCGATGACGAAAAGTAGCCTATGACCATACCCTCGATACATAGAGCCACGTACTCCGGTAACCTTCATTTTGAGGGCTATGAGGAAACACAACCTTCACCTGGAAAAAGCAGAAGTCATCCGGGGCTTCGTCCTGGATGTTATTATCCTGGTTATATCGGAACGAATGTTAATGAAGCAAATATAGCGAATAATATCTCTAGCTTATCTCAGCGAAATCGAGAATTTGCGTTTTTATAGCCTTTTTTTACCTTCAAAAAGGTTTCTGTGGGATTTTCGCCAGAATTCAGAATAAAATTTCTTAGTTAATCTCTCATTTGAACAAAATTGAGTTTCGGAAGTTTAGGAAAGCTATTGGAGCTAAATAAGTACGAGAAACTGCGCTTAAATCTTGCGGAGAGAGTCGCGCACGAAAACGCAGGTCTATCTTATTAATGAGTGACTTTCAAAGCTTGGGACGTTGTCAGTTCTCGTCGTCGTGTCATGGCGATCAGAATGATATATAATGTTGCGGGGTTTCGTCGAGACCCCACGGAGATCTACGACCAGAGCCAAATGCCCCGTCGGCTCTGGTCTGTCTCCGCTGCTCGTCTGCGTCTCCGCGCGTTGCGCGCTACCTCGCTACCCCAAACGCGGGACGCGGGGCATTTGGCTCTGGTACCCTTTTCTTCGCTGTTTCGAACCCAATTTTAGCAAGCTATACATCAAAATGAAGCTCTTGATCTCTATTTTCACGCTGACAACGTCCCAGAAGCACATTTATTGATTTGAGCGAGAAATCCGGCAAAAACGTTGTTTTCGAAAATCTCTTGTTTTTCTCGTAGGTTAGCTATTTTCACGCGGTTTTTTCGTGCATTCTATAGATCTTGCTTCTATTCATAATGCAGACAACCACCCAGCCTTTATCTCTTCGATTATTGTGGAATTTTTTGCGAAAAATCGTAAAAAGTGCGTTTTTCTTTACCTTGTTCTATTCCTGTGTTTTCGCATCGATTTTTTTCCAGCTTGGGCGATTGTTGCTCAGAACAATAAGCGCAACAATCCAGACAACGTCCCAGGAAACAGGAGCGTCAATGAGGGGGTAAAAATTCAAAGGACGCATCAAAAATCAAAACCCCGTGTTGCGAATTGCTGGTCCTGAAGCGAAAACTTGCACTTTGAAAAGCCGCGAAATGAAAGATTTTAAGCCTTATTGCAGCGTTTTTGTCCGCTTTTGAGCATTTTCTTTTGCTTTTTATATTCGTTTTATGTATTCTTTTCTTCTCTGATCTTCTATAACAACCTTCACTTTTTTACGAGGGCAGATGTTCAAACAACCTTCACTTTTGACGCCCTGTCTCCAGACTATCGAAGGTATGCCTATGACACCCGCCGGGGCCCGAAGTGTATGTGTGCTAAGTTTGGTCCCGATCGGTTCAGAAATGGAATTTTCTATTCGGAACATACGTACACACATACAGACATACAGACATACAGACAGACAGATAAACAGACATTCAGCTTTATATATAAGATGTAAATGACCTTATATAGGCATTTTTTGAAAGAGAATAATTTATTCTAACATCTATCAAAATTGGGAAGTTTAATCATATTTCTTTTCTGAGAAATCTACATTTATTCTCTAGGTGCCCCATTTTTTATTGATCACCCTAATATATTTGTCCCTTTTTGGTGAACTAGTCTGCATTAAAAGAATTTCCTGATATATTTATTTATTTATTTTATTTATAATATACCAACGGTGTGCCAAAAAAAGAGAAAAAAATGTAGCACAAATCAACATGTGTAGTTTCGGCTAGTTAGTGAGAGACAGGTGGTGAGAGTCTCCAGCTGGAGTGCAGAACGTTCTCCCTCTTCTGTAGGCAAGTGATCCTTTCCGAATTCCTGTTGCCTTACCCGACGCAAGGTATGGTCGAAAGTACCAGGGCTGGCTGACCACTTGACCCGAGCGGAGGAATCCGCCAAGGACACTGGGCGAGCGAGAAGGGGGAACCTCAAGGAAGAGGGCTTGCCAACTGAACTGTGACTTCCTCGAACGGCGTTCAAGGCGAAGAGAGTGCAATCCTGTCTTACCTTTCAAAACTCCATAGACACAACAAAATTCTATCATCATCATCTAACTTGTTGCGAAACAAAACAACAAACATTCTTCACAGAAAGTGACAACAAGTCATTCTAAAATCAAACATCTGCAATTTTCAGGGTTTGCAAAACATCTTTTGACGCAAGCTTTTTTCGAAATTGAACAGAATTCTCACAAGAGGTCAGATCTCTAGGTAAAAGCCTGAACCATCTTGTAGCGCGACATACGAGTGAGTTGAAAGCCGTGGAAAAGATTTTGCTTCCCAACTTTCGATAACACAAACCTAACCCGCCCGTACGGTTTCCGCACGGTCTGAAGATCCAATACTGACTAGGTCTCAACCTATGTACCAACCCTAACCTATATATGTAGATTTCTGTAAATCAACAAGCAGGGCGATGCTCCATCGTCGCCTTTTCTTGAAAGAATCTATTTCAGCAGACGTTATAAGGTTTCGGTTTTGCTTTCTCTACTTTATCTCGCTGGATCATCGGTTTGTTGCGTGCTTCTTTCACTTCTTCATCTTGTCGCATCAGTGTTCACTCATTTGTTGCGACGGTTTACTGCAAAAAACGATGATTCTTGCCCGCTATGAAACATATTAAACATTCTGTATAGTAACGATGATCGTTCTGTTGCAAGAGCGTGTGTATCATCTATATCAAGTATTATGACCTTTGATTATAAACGTTTGCACCCCTAGATTTCCATTTGTCAATGATATGTGGAGAACTCAATCCAGCATTATTCTCTTCAGGATGAATTTCAAAAGATGTGGTGGCTTTCTAAGGGCACCGTCCACTCAGATTCTCTACTTTCAGGTTTTTTTCGTTTCAGGGCCTTCTCATGTCCTTAATTCCGAAATGAAGTCGAGAATCCGCATCGCGACAACTCCGGTTCCGGAGAACCCACAGGCCGGCTTTCCGATGATTGGATGGGCGCGCACGGAGGGCGGCCATGGATGAGGAGGGCGGTGCCGTCTGGAGGTCCTCTCATATTAGCTAATCCGGAGCGATTTTCTCGCTTCCGAAGCGATATTTTGCGCCTCGACTTAGGCATTGGCTTGATAGGGGGCTCTACTATCATAAGCTGCCGAAAGCTTAAGACCCTCAATCTTAGGTGGACGCTGCCTTTGGGGACGCCAAAGAGGAAAACGCGAGTGGTACAAATAGCAAGGTTTGGACTTCTCTAAATAGTAGGCGCACCGAGTAGTG